TATAAAAGTGAATGGGCTCCTCTTCTGAGTAGATGCATGCTGAGATACATGCTTTCTTCTATGTTGTTACCCAGTTTGGAGATGTAGTTTGGTAAAAACAAAACAGGTCTTACATGAAAAAATTCACAACAAGGTCTTTGGATTATCCTGAGATGGGATATTATTGTTTAGTTTCTCAAATGTATTCTTTATGCACCACCTACCTAGTTCCATCAGGTTGTGTTATAGTCAAGAGAAGGCAGACATCTCTACAACCAATATCACCGGAATCTCCCAGTGCTTCTCAAAGTGTGGTCCGCGGACCACTGGTGGTCCGTGACCGCCCCCTAGTGGTCCGTGAGTATATTGGTAACATTTCACATTTTAAATAAATAAGTTAATTTAAGTTTTCCGCACTCTCACAGGAATATCTCCGCAATGGAGCAAGCTGAAGTTTCACTTTCGATTGCATGATATAGCCCAGCGCAACATCTTCGTCGCATATGTTGCCACATGTTTGTACCATTTTCAGGCGATTTGTAATCTGTTCTAGAAAAACGATGTGTTTTTGGATATTTGTGGAGTTAGGTGGTCCGCGAGTGTTTTTTTATTGGTTAAGTGGTCCTTGGTATGAAAACGTTTGAGAAACACTGATCTAGATGATAAATAGCACAACAGGTAAGAGGAAAACATATATTGTATTGATTTTAAGATAAAGTGTCCATAATATATCTTCAACACAGCAGTTTGAGACAGGCCTGAACTCCTTGTATGCAGAAGATGGTTTCTGCACAGCAATCAATAACATGCTCTGACAAAGACTGATGCGTTGCCGTCAAAGCTCCAGCAAACAGGTTTCATACTGAGACCAACAACTTGAAAAGGAGCTCAGACTGACCGGAACTCAGTGGAATTTGCCACCTGACCCCAGCATAATTAACAACTACTCAGTTTTAGAGTTATGGGTATCATTTTTCACCTTCTTAACTGACTCATCATTAAGTTAAAAGTTGCAAGTCACTAACTGCCATGTAAAACGTCTCTACTGTATGTGTAACTGTAGAACTCCTGTTGCCTTTCAGTTCCCATAAATCAATGAGTCAAAGAGTGTTTGATCCTGAGGATCCGCTGTGCGGGCCCCAAGATGACCCACATATCACATGACCTATAAAAGTGGTCTACCTCCGGCACCATGCCTCCTCAGACAGCATAAAATGGGCTTAAAATGTCTCCGACCCCGCGGGATCTGTCCTACAGAAACTTTTGAAGGCCAAAGCTTCTCTGATTGTAATGCCTTTTCATTAGTTACATGACCATAGATGTTCTGGGATTCTGTTAAAGGAAATCACCAGATATCTTCATATAAGCAGAAAAGAGAAAATCAGGAATACCTGTCAAGTCAACTGATATGTTTGACAATATGTTTGCCTCTGTATAAATGAAACTAAAACTGAATAAACAGTGTTAAAGATGCACACTTTAAGTATAAAACAATAGCCAAAGTGTGTGTGTGTGTGTGTGTGTGTGTGTGTGTGTGTGTGTGTGTGTGTGTGTGTGTGTGTGTGTGTGTGTGTGTGTGTGTGTGTGTGTGTGTGTGTGTGTGCGCGTGCTCTGTGAGTGAACCCGTTTAGAGCAGAACATGAGGGAAAGTGAAGTTGCCTCATGAACCTTGATCCTTTGGAGCCAAGTGTGGAGGCCCAGACCACCAGAATCGGATCCCTTCAGCTTTACGGAGAGGCCGAGCAAGGTAACCTACAGCACAGGAGCTGATTTTAATCACATTTCTTCAGACCAAAATCAAGTTTTGTTTGCTTTTTTGTGATACCGTCTAAGGAAAAGCTACCATGAAGAAAGATGGATGAAAAAGTAATTATGAATACGGGCCCGGGTCTGACTAATATGAGATTTTTGAAGCAGATGCTAATATGTGGTATTAAGAGTCACAGAGATAACAATTTATATTACAATATTAATTTCTGTCTGCATTTATGGAATTGAGCCCTTAAATATGGTTCTTATAGAATTGTGAAAAAGACTTGAAACATTTAACTCTAATCAAAATTACATGAGCAAGAAGACGAGTGTCCATTTTCGAGAGTAAACCAATAATCATGAGTGAAAACACAAATAATTAGACAAACATTTTAGATATTTAACTTGAATTGGAAAAACAAAAGAGTCAAATACCTAGTTTGAATGTCTCTACTATACTTTCTATTAAGACATGTGCCAACATCAGATGTCATATCATATTGTAATGTAATTGGTGAGGTTACAGTACAGGCTTTTACTATCCCTGTCGTCTGTCTCGTATTTAAGAATTTCCAATTCATATTTCAAAAGAAAATGTTGGACACAACATCTGCACAAACAAGTATGTTAGATATTAGTATTTTAGAGTTGGCAAAGGTACAGTAAACTATGAACTGTGTTTAAGCATAACCAGACAGCAGCAACTGAATGCCACACCGACTCGTTTCCACGACTTCCGAACGACGTAAAAATAATGAAAAGGACAAAAAGGCTGCACACTGCCATTCTGAGGACAACTGCACCAAAACTGTCTGGAGTCCTCTGCACCAGGTGCCAATCAACAGGTAGTTGTCAGTCATGGGGGTGACAGCTGGTGGACTGTCAGTCAGTCTGACGGGCGTTACAAAGACACGATGGTTTGCCTCGCTGTCCCCTAATTGGTGCCTTTAGTGAGAGCCATCAACATGCTTTAGCTTTCTTTTTTTATATGTATCTGGTGCTTAATTGTTCTCCCTCCACACTTCACCTTTACAATGCACACTTTTAGATGTAGGGTTTCACAACTTAACACCTCTAGTCTTTAGTCATGTCAACAAACTCCAGATGCAAAAAAAAAACACCTCCATGTGACACACATCTTTTTAACCTATGTCATAAACATAAACACATTTTTCTGTGAAACTCAAATGCGTTTTATTGATTACAAGTTTTAATTAAATTGTGATTTAACCCCTACCAAAAAAAACACAGCGTCGAATCGCTTGCGAAAACATCAAGTTCTGATGGAGACTGTTTGAGATGCGCAGCAGGCTCAGACTATGAATCACTGCGTATACCACCTTCTAGCAAACCACTTTAATCTAAGAGGATGGCAGAGGAACAAAGACAGAGGAAGTGAGTAAAAGGGAGAGAGAGAGAGAGAGAGAGTGGGAGAGGGAGAGAGAGAGAGTGGGAGTGGGAGAGAGAGGCGGGTGGATTGATAACAAGAACCAGACCATTTCCACATCAGACATCTTTGCCAATTGCAGTTAACATATTGCAGCATTGTGGGAACCATTTAATTATCTAACCTCATTCCTTCTGCCGTTATCACCCTTTACATGAACTCTAGGGACTCAGGATTACAATATTTCAAATGAAGTTTGTGTCATATTTGACAACTTAGAACCAATGTGTTTAAACGTGTGTGATCTATGACATGTATGGGAGTCCCTATGGTAAAACCTCCCACAGGAGTCATGCTTCTCCCTGCACTTCAGCCACAGAAAAAAATTGTTGTGTGAGTCAGTTATTAAGCCAGGCAGCAATTAGGCCTACACGAGAGAAGTCAAGGTGGAAAGCCTGTCGATCCTTTGGTCTCTGACCAAGAGGAAGTCAAGATAATAACACAATGCATTCCTAGCCATGTGAGAAAATCCAGTCAACTGTAGAAAGTAATTGTGGTTTCTTTGGTTCCAATTACCATTTTAAAGGTTGTTTCGGTAAAACTGCAATAAAAATCTGTTTTGGTGACCCATTAAAATACTTGGGTAGCATACATGACATAATGGTAGCACTAACTATATATTTATGTTCCTTTCTAAGTAGCACTCTCACATGCAAAGACATGAAATAACACAACTCACTAAGAAACTTAAAAATGTATCTTATCAAGCAAACATCTGAGACATATCTCAAGCTTCTCATATTTAAAGGGATATAAAATAAGCGGTGAGCATTATCTGACTAAAGAAAACAAAACTCTATATTTATTACAACTCCTTCACAATGAGAACAAATAGAAAGTCTCCCTCGGGCACACTGCAGCGGGTTGTCATTATCACAGTTAAAGTTCAACTACCAACCTGCAGGACATTCTGGTTTAATTCAAATAATGAGACCAATCAGTTCACACCAGAATCTAAAAGAGAAAACCACTGTTATTTGCAATGATCAAAAGGCTGTTTTAATGACTGGGTTGAAACACAGCAGAAAGTTGTTTCCACTGACAAAACTTGTAGACTAAGGCAGAAAAAGACCAGAGTGAAAGTCAGAAGTAAGTAAGATTTCTGTTCTGTTTGTAGCCTATTTGGGCAATGATAGCTTGTTGGTCTCAAAAATACAATAAACACACAAAACAAACCTCACAAATTCAACTCAAATTGGTCCAGCAGACAGGCTAACGGCTGGTTTTGTGTTGCACTAAAATCTATTCCCCTTTAAACAGAAAGCCCATGTGTCCATGTGTGCTGCCCCAAGCAGAAGCAGTGGCACTCCCCACTGTGAGAAAAAAAGGAATAAAAGAAAATGCAGCCTCACACAACTGGTACAATAAACCGTATTACATTTCACTGGATTGCTCATAAAGTGCAATAAGGAAAAGTGGAAGCATTCAACAATTGATCCAACATGTAAACGGTTAGTCATAACAGAGTATTTCTTAATATATTTTCAAATGAGTCGTCCTCTTCAGTATTCAAACTTTACTGGTGTAATGTGAAGTTCCTTCAGACATTACGGTGTAAGGCAGTGAGCGATGAGCGCAGCCATGAGACAAAGAGCGCTCTGTCTCACTGCAGCGGGACAGCAGGACAACTCCTGTCGTTTCCCTGGATGATGGGAATCCTACAGGTGCACGCAGTAAGTGAATGACGATGATAAGCATGTGACTGAACGTTTAATTTCAGACTGGCACAGCCTTCATCGCTCTCTCACAAACAGCGTTGACCCTTTCAGCTGCGTGCTGTATAGCCCCGTTGACCTATACTGACCTAATGTAAAAGCCATGCTGTTGTACATTTACGGCTTTATTACAAACAATTATTCATGTTTTTTGTCTGTTAGGCAGTGACTTCATATTTCAAAAATACAGAAAAGACAAAAATATGTTTGAATGTGTATTGAAGTCAAGTTCAAATGAACATGCCTTGCCACGTAAAACATTAAAACATATTGCAAAACATTTACAACTTTTCATTTTTTTCCCAATTAAAATATTTTTTATTTAAATACATTTCTAGAACATGAAATAAATACAGATTATATGATATAGATTGAATCAGCTGAGAAACATTTAAATGTATTTTACACAAGGAAAACACATCATTAGGTTTTTTAAAAAAGAATTTAAGAAAAATAAGCCTTTTTTCTTCTTTGCTATTCTGTAGTCATGTAAGCATGCTCTAATATTTTAAATAAAACCAGTGAGTGAAATATTAACAGAGTTTCATAATCTTTGTCTTATTCTCGATCAAACCTTCATGCATTCATCTGTAAATCATCCTCAGAAACTGATCTGGGCCTCTGCTCACAAAATGCCTTTGGGATGTATAGAGGAGACAGTGTGACATTCCTGTGGGGATTACTAAACCTTCAAGCGCGTGTTGTGGGATTATCCAGGCGGCCACCCGTGGTCTTCAGCTGACGTTTAGGTATCATCAAAATCATAAAGACAGCAGGAAGGTCGAGAAGTCAAAGGTAGAATGGTCAGATGAAGACCCGAGTAAATCTCCAGAGGTTCATTACTGTCAGTGTGAAGACACACTGTGATGACCTTAGGACCTAAAGATGGAAGTAAAGGTAGAGGTTAGGATGAGAATACAGAGAGACAACATACGCTCATTAACCCTCTGCAAAACACCACACAGTGAGTTTGGTCCACAAAACATCTACAGAATAAAAGGGCAGATGAAAAGGAGGTAAAATGATTGTACGCAAAATGCTAGTTTATAAAGAGGAAATGAAAGAGATGGCACATGGTTTATTTTCATAATGAAAAGAGCAGGGAAAACACCAGCAAACATGATGAAAAAGCAGCAACAAGGCAGCTTCGTCTCGATGTTGATGACACCCTTTTTTCTGGGTGTAGCCTGTTGTCCCTCAGTAGTTGTTACTCTTGTTTCAGTCTCACAGAGACAAGGTTGAGGGGCTTGGAAGCCAAATTCAAGCTCAGGGCGAAGTCAAGCTCTTGAGATATTACTTCCATACTCTTGGTCCAGATTCTCTGCCTTGTTCTCCAAGTCATTAGCAACAGCAGCAGTTCCTGAGGAAGCACTGGAGGACGTTAAGTGGCTGTTATCTCATGATTATTAACGTATCTGGGCAAAGTATTGACGACAGCTCACAATGGAGCACACAGTCTGAAGTGTCTGGAAAATGATAGCGTCATTAGTTGTTCGTCTTTTGATTTATTGAAGACAAGAGACAAGCAGTTAGGCTCTCATGAGAGCTGTAGCAGGTAATTGTCACAGTTAAAGCAAACCAGATGACGGTGACATGCTCTGGCTTTCTCAATCTGGGTCCAAATCTGGGAACAAATCTGGGGACACCTCCAGGACTCTGTTGCCTGGTTGTCACTGTTATGGTTGTGTGTATCGAGGTGAGGGTTGACTAGCCACAAGTATATTGCCACATAGCTGGAGAGGCTTTAAGAAAACTTGTTTATCAGAAAAAGCTTCGATTTAGGCTTTTCGTTCCTAAATGGTATCTATTTATTGAGGAGGATGGAGAAGACAGAAGGGAAGAAAGAAATATGTGGTTCATTATTTTCACTTAATAAACAAACATTCCATTTCAAATGCAATATTTCATTCGCGTACTTTGGAAATGCAGTTCAATATATTGATACAAGGCTGAATGAAATGAAAAATGATAGAATGCAAATGTAAGGGTCCAAATAAGAAAATAAGTTCAGGTTTTAAGTAACATTCAATAGCTACTGCTGTCATTGTTTGGACTAAGCTCTTAGCCTGTGTCTAGTCAGAGATGCAGCAGTCCAAAAACCTCTGGTCGTCATTGTATTGCAGAGCGTCAGTATTAGAAAACATGCAGCTGGTGAATGTAGTGAGAGACCGCACAACATTGTATGCATGAGCCGGATGTTCAGGAGAAACCTCCGTAAACCCAAACATTAATAGAAGCTGATAAATATCTCAAACCCGGCCAGGCCCACCAGTGAGTCAAACTTTCTAAAGTTGAATTCTTAAAATGTTCCCACCCATAGAAATGTATTCGTAATTGTTCTCACGATATGTAGTGAACATCTGAGATGGAATATTACAAATATATTATATTGGTGTGGTCTAGTTATTAAGAAGAGGTGGCCGTTTTAACATTTGTGAAATGTTTAACAGGGTTAAAAAAAACTAAGATGTAAATAAATTCCTTGTATTGTGGTTGAAAGTAGCGTGGAGATATTATAAAATGATATGTTATTGTGTCTTGTTGATAAATGTTTTGTATTTGAGCTACTTTAAAATCTGCAAAATATAATCTTGTTCTCCCACCTCCAATGAAAAGCCATGTCATTGTACTGCTACTGTGATTTAAGAGAGGCTCCACAAAACAGCTATGCTCTAAAATAAAATGATTGTACTGGTTATCTGAATCAAAAAACAACTATAAGAAATTATTTGTTATCTGACTAACCTGCCTTTATTCCTGCTCAGAAGGTTCAGGGCTCAGGGTGTGAAGTAATCTTCGCTTTCGCCGCGGTTGTTCATCCTCTTCATCAGAAAAAGTCTGGTCCATAGAGATGCCCTGGCTCACCAGATTACAACCTGCATACAATACAGCACACACAGACACATACAGTAGAGGCACACACAAACTGTTTAGAAAACACACTCTTACTGAATCATGTTTTAATGTGATAAAAAGATAACTGTCCTGCCTCGTCTGGAAAATAAAGTTGAATCATTTCTAGTATGTTACTTTGCATTTTGTATGCATCTTTGATTAATAATGTCACTTATATAAGCAAATTATCAATCAGTTGATACAAAAAAGCATGTTTACTGTTAATCAAAAAGGTACTAGATTCTATTCACATTCTTTCACAATGACCTCTGATGGACTGCAAGTTCCTCCAATGAGTCTGAATTCCTGCACTCGGATGTCTCGATCAACATTTTTTGGGGGGACGTTGGTTGTCATTCTCATAGTCCAAATTCTCCCGTTTCACTGCTTAAACCCAATTCTCCATTTGTGTCAATTGTGTAACATTTGAGGGAGTCTCTGGGCTTCATATAACCTCTGTTAACCCTGGACAACTCCACACTTGAAGTAATGGGACCTTTATCTGGAACAGAGATCTGACATTCCAACGAGGCCCATCATAAAATGGTTTACATCCAGACAGGCTCAAAAACACACCTGTTTGCCCTTTAACGTTTCTGCTAGCACATTCAGACTCAAAGATTGACAGATTAAGCAGTTGTGTTAGATAAAAAGAAATACTTAAGAGAATTGATTTGCTGTCAGATTGAGAGATTGAAGGATGATGCTGATGCTGAAATGATTGCTACTGTTGATATTTGGGGTTAAATGAACTAAGTCTGACATTACAGAACATCTGATGGATGATTGTTTTCCAATTCTCTCTTCCCCTGTGTCAAGCTCCTATTCTTTCATCTTCTGTCACCTCATTGTGAGTGATATGCTTCCTCTGCTGTCACTATCAGATGCTGGAGGGAACAGGTCAAAGAGAGAGTTTCTTTTTTTGTCTCCAAATCTGCCCTGTCATTACTCTCTTAAGAGGCCTCTGCAATATGAAACACACCCCGAGGCACGAAGGTTAACTGGGGCCGTGCATGTCAAAGTGTAATTGTGTAGCCAACTATGTCGGGAAAGTTTGTGTTTTTACTTTTTAATGCAAATAAAACTGCTGTCATGCAAGCGGTTTCTGATGTGGGTTTACCTGAAGACAGCCAAATGGGGGGGGGGGGGGGGCCTGAAACTAAACAAATGTCAGTGAGGTCTAAAATGTACTAAAGTTTACCTTATGTAGTTACTGTATGTGTTTACTGAATTTGTAAATACAAAACTTTGTCCTGGATCTTGTCCTCAGATTATCGGGAAGGTGGGTGTGAATTGATTTGATTGCTAGGGTTACCAGAGTAAAGCTGCACAATATAAGCAAGAAGAATTAATAATGCATTAGGCATGAATCAGCATATTGTAACAAATTTGACATTAAGTTGTGGCGTGTTTTCTACGATGGTCTAGTGATGGCCAAAAGAGAAACGCCTAGAGACAGATTTGCCGGACAGCTGAATTAGTGTAAATACTAAAATTATTTTGGAAACACACCCATAATGCAGAAAATGGAGAGAATATAAAAGCAAATTCACAATGCATGAAGATGAAGATGGCACAGGTGACGGACGAGCTGAGAACACAAGAAAGCATTGTAAAACACTTCAAACAACAAAGTGTGTAAACCAAGACCCATACTGCGCAATCTACAACCGTCATCCCTCTGCACTGAAGGGGGAGAGTGTGTGCATGTTTGTGTTAGTGAGTGAAAGTGAAGAAAATGAGAGCCAAACAACAGGACCTGCTAAAGTCACTGCATCATTAATATGTTTCGCAACTCGGGGGAACTTGAGTTTGGCTCTGAACACAAACGCAGCCATTCAGCGAGCGATCAGTAGGTTACCCCGGCAGATTGCAACTCGTAGTACAGGGGGTATGACTCAGATATTGTGACATCACGCCGCCTCTGCATGATGCAGAGGAAGAGGAAAGACCACCTCCTGGCCGGCTGTGTTGAAGCAATAACAGCAGACTGGGTGGGTTTATGACTCAAAGAAAAGAGTTTCCCAGAACCTGGCTTCCCGAGGGTATGCTCTCTGCTCGCTGTGCTTTTAAGTTTACGTTAAAACCCCCTGCTTACATGATCAATTACATTCAACTGTCAAGTTTATTAGACAATAACAAATCAGTTCAAGGAAAGCTTAAACTCTTTTTAAGTCTGCATCAATACTGACTCACATTTTGTCCTATGACATAACAAGGAGTAACGGGAATGGGCGAAGCGTTGCCGTGTTAAATTCTTACACCCTGCCCCACCAAACATGGCGCATGCATAAGTAATGGGGACATTGGAACACAATGCAGTGAGGGTCACTGTGACAGTACATTTGTATAAAGGTGACCTATGAGAGTCCCAAATTGAGACAGCTATTGATAAATGTATGTCAGTATGTGTATGATTATATCATAATTATTTATATATGTATTTTTACTAACAATCTTTTCCTTCTTTTTTAAGTTATTTTCTTTTCCTCTAATCTGCATGTTTCACTATGAGAAAAATAAGCAGTGATTTAAGTATGAGCAACATTGCCACCTGATCCCAAATGATGCTTCAGCCTACATTGTGATACAGTAGAGCTCACACACATTTGTGTGTGTTAACACCCACATATAAAACGTAATACCAATTCTCATCATGTTATGAATTGCATTGGTTAGGCTCTGCCCTATCCCTAGAGGAACACTCTAGTTGCTTTATTCTGAGTAATAGGAGGGCAAGGAGATGTTTCAGTCTGGTTATGTTCACTGATTATGCTGTTGCAACATATTCTTACGCAGGAAAACATGAAAACAATAGACTGTTCTAAACAGATTGTTCTGTAATTGATTATAAACTAATCATTTGTATTAGCCAATTATTCACAAAAATAATATAAAAAGCAGTCCTCTTAACACATCACACACACCTGTGATGAGAAGAGTTTGCTCCTGAGATGGATGGATCCTCTGAACCGTCTCCTCCTTTCTGTCCTGACTGTCGTCTTCGCCATAAGTTGTGTCATTGTCACTAAAATAAATAAAATAATTTGAGAACAGAAACTTTTTCCTATAGAAAAAAGTGAGAAAGAAGAAAAAAACTAAGAAGAAAAATGTAGTTGAGTTTTGAATATTCTCTAGAAGACACTGCCTTTGGGGTAATCACCTCTCAATATTTTACAGTATTGACCACAAGCAGCTATGCCAAAAGCTAAGCAGCTATTGTGAGTAAAACCTTTCATCCATACACTGTGCACTGCAACGATAGTCTATATTAACACAGGCATGTAAAGTAACAATTTAGCAACTGTGTTCTGCAAATGCTAAAGATATGGCAAACACAAACGCGGAGCTGACAGCCCTGTGCTGGAAATAACATGTGCAGCTAAAGCAATGACCTGAATGTTGATTTACCCTTTTTACAAAATTCAACAGTAAATAAGCTAAATTGATTGCACACTAATCAAGTTTTCTTTTGAATATTTAACAAGTACAGTGTAGCTATAAAAAACATCAGTGGATCTGAAAATCAGATTAACAGAAAATCATAAATTGCAGACTCAAGCATTGACAAAATATGTGAGAAACACATTAAATAGAACTGATTTCACTGGTTCACCTGCATTTTAAGTAGAAAAGCTAGCCAGTTAAACCAGAGCATGACAGAATAATAAACGCCATGTGAAACCAGTCTGCTGACCTATGTGTACCCTCTCCATCTGCCTGCTGGTCTTCAGTGGGCTGGAGATGGCGGACAGCTTCCTGCAGGCCTCTGATCTTGGCCTTCTTCTCATTCAGCACCATGACAAAACGTGAGTACATCTTCCCCTCCAACATCTCCTTATCCTCCACTTGCTGCCCCAGCCTGGTGAGAACAATACATAAGTGTATATGCAAAAACATATATCCAAGTGATTGGACTCCCACTTGCACATGGAAACACATGTGCTCACGCAAAAACAGAAGGACAATGCATGTTTTGAAATGTTTGTTTTGTTTGTGTTTTTTGGGAGTAATTTGTTAAGGGCAGTGATGCTGATGCCTCCACCCCATGGAGACATAAGTAATATTTATCCTCCATCTCTGACAATGCTTCATTCATTGGCTAATCAACCAAAAAAACAGATAAACAATTACACAAAAAAAAGAAAATAAGTCATATTTTAACTGAAATACGCACATTAGAGGTTAGTTCCCAGAAATTACAAGCCCGGTTTGCATCACAGGGAGGAACCCTTAATTCTCTCAAATGGGCGACCAGTGATGATGTCATTCTGGACAGGCCGACTTAAAAAGCAAAAAGAATTTGCATGAAAACAAGACAACCAACAAACAAATACCAGCGCATCTTAAGAAAATAATGACATGCTGTAGGGGTACTTTCCATTTGAACTTAATATTTGCTGTCCATCACATATTCTTTAATATTTAAAACCCATTAGCTAAAAACACAGCATTGGTTTCCTTCCTCCTTACTCTCTGAGTATTCTCTGGTGCTCCTGTTTCAGTCTACGGTTCTCCTCTAACAGCTGGCAGTTCTTGGACTCCAGATCTGTACTATACTTTAGAGACTGGCCAATCATCTCCCGCTTCAGCTCCAGAGGGTCTGGAGCTGGCTGGAGCTCTACTGAACCCAAATGAACCTGAAGAAATAAATGAAAGAGAAGAATAAGAACAAAGCAATATGAGAGAGCACAAATCATAAAAGAGTGCAAATTGTATGATTAACAGTTGGGGAGCTCAGCAATGTGGGAGGACCTCAGTAATCGACTTTCCTTACTCTGCATTGACAGGTTACAGCTAAGATAGTTAATGGCACATGGTAACATGGTAGGCATAACCTCTGCAAGCCTCCCTTTGAGTATGACAGTCTGGGAGGAGACAACAGGACCGTTTTAAGACTACATGTCCAAGTTTCCCCTTTAGTACCAGGGGCTCCTCTATGAAAAACTGGGGGAAGTTACCTGGGAAAACCACATCTAGCACTCCAATCTTGAAAAAGTACTTAATTAATTTAATAATGTATTAATGCAATAATATCGCAACCAAACCAGCTTCTTCTGCTTACAGTTAAAAACGAGTAAGCATTTACACCTTAACGTCATTCCAAGAAGATGTGAGTGGGGGATTCTTTTAAAGTCGAGGTATTTCTTCGGTCTTGTTGAAATACAGGATGCATTCATTAGTCACCAGTAAACCATGCAAGATCGTTCACAGTTTCCTCTCTGTTGTATCTTGTCTGTGAATCTTTGGAATCACAGACAGGCTTCAGATGTCATAAAACATTCCTCATTCGGTTTACATGTTGGCATTAAGTCCCAAAGCAGGGCTCAGGCATTGCAGCGAGCGACCGAAAATTGCAGAAGATTCCAAATATTTAGTTAATGCTTAACATTTTCTAAATTCCACTGTGGCACTCAGATTTTTAACAGGCACAATAGGATTTAATCTACAGAAAACAGCTATGATTCAATAGAAAAAACACTGAAGCTCAGAAACAGTGGTCAACTTGAAGTGTGCACATCAAAGCTGCCACACCCACACCAATGTTCAAATAGCTTTGCTTGATTGTTGTCTTGGAGATTCTACGAATGCGCACACACACACAATAACAAGAACTCACGAGTACACGAGCACACAGGTATTGTTCAATGCACTGGGAAACCAGAAGGTGACGAGGTGCTAAATCTTCTCTGGGCTATGTCGGGGTCGCCGACCCAATGTAATAAAGCCGCCATCTTCAAAAGCTCTCATAAAATACTTTGTCCCGTGCCAGTTCTGTCCTGGCAGGCCACACAGCTGCTTTCCCCTCCATTGTTGAACCTGGACATGTTAAGTGGACCTTTGCTTCACATCGCTGCAACAGCTTCCCTACCTTTTTCTTTGGTAGTGTCTCTCTGTCCCTAACAATACAAACGTGTCTCCATTGTTTAATGCTTGAAATACCCTGCTTATATTGAATGAAACAAGAGCAAATTAGCAAGACGAATCAGCTTCAGATATCTTTTGTGTTTTGCAAAAGTAATGATAACACCATAAACTTAATTAGCAAACATGCTTAAAAGTCAGCTTTTAGCTTTGTCACTGTTAAAATGTTAGCATGCTAATGCTAGCATTTAACGCACCACTGTCCCTACAAACAGAGCCATTAGTGTGTCTGTAGACTCGTCTTTTTTACATGTGGTCTTCTTCTTGTGTTTAGGGGCTTGGATGCCATTAACCTTCAATACCTTACTGCTCTCTGCATTAAGACCAACCCAGTCTCACGGCATTTCGTGTTCACCAACACGATTTTTAATCTATTGATTCGTGTTCACCAACACGATTTGCCCCTTTTTTTCGTGTTGCACAGCACGATTTTAAAAGCAATGTATTTCTACTGCCTGCAGCACGTATTTTTCTCCGGTCAGGTCGTGGAAGACCGGAAGCTGTGTGGTTCATAAAAACATGTTCTTACTCAATATCAAGCCACAGTTATTGCTTTTATTTGAAATCGTATAATTTCGGACTTTTGTTGCCGTCTGTGAGGAAAATAAATGGGGCTCAGAGCCTCAGGATACTGAAATCTGTATTTTTAAATATTTGTTTCCTTCTAATTCGATATTCTTTTCAAAATAACACACTGTTATTTACTCACCAATAACACACAATTATCCTTGCTTTTATTTATTGGTTTAATTCCATAATCTCGGGCTTTTTTGGCGTCCGTCAGGAACTGAATTTCAAAATAAAAATAACCGGAAACAGACGTAGGCCTATAAGGGACGAGCATCATTGCGATTGTCAACATTTCTGAGTTTAGGATGGCCGAAGACACTACACTACCCATAATCCCCAGCTATCGTTTAGGACTACAGTCCCCGTAAGGTTACGCAGAGCGTCAAACAGCTGTGTGAAATGGAACGAAACAACGCCAGACTATCCAAAACTGGAATCGAACGCCCCCCCAGAACTACACATGCTGGCTATTGTGTTTCGCAAAATGTTCTATGGGACGTCTCTACTGAACGTTTTTGTTTTTCCCACAATTAGAAGTTGCCAGTATTAAACACATTGGTGTTATCAAATGTAAAACATATAATTAATAAATGGGTGAAAATCGCTTGTGTCCATAATGCGCAGCATTAATACCCACATGACAGCTCATTGTTACTTTGTAATTCTACTCCACTACAATTCAGAGGTTAACCTGGTATTTTTACTCCACTGCATTTATTTGAGTTACTTTGCAGATTCTGATTAATTATGTGAAATATAAACAACCCTTAAATCAGACTTTAGTTACACCTGAGTAAAATTCAGGTAAGGTGATTGTCAAGTGCCAACAATCAGGAGAGATATTTGATAGTTGGTGCTTGAGAAGACTAAACATGTATCTGCAATTGACATGAATGGAAACGAGTAATAAAGTATATTCATTACTCGTTATTCTCTACTAATAGTTCATTAAAGACTGTATATTATGGCTATTTTGCACATCCCTTTCAAGTTTTTCAAAGGTGTATTGACATATCATATACACAACTACGGTGTAGTTATGCAATGAATGAAACACTTGGGTCACAGGTTCCTCAACAGTGCATTACAAGACATCTATTAATATGTGTGTACCTCCACCATTAAACTGTCATATTCTGCACATTTCTTATTCTATCTACATACATAAGAGTATAATTCATATGTATAATATCAGTTAAAATAAGTGCTTCAACATAGTTAACATTGCAGGAGAGCAATATATTAGACGTTAAGTACTTTGTCAGGCTTAATATTTATCTGTAGATAGATACCCCCAAAGTTGTTTTCTTATTTAAAAGAAGACCTTAATCTGTTATTTAATGTTTAAATAAAGGTTAATTCGTTTTTCTGTTTTGCTCCTCCTCCTATTAATATATTTGTACATTCTGCACTAAACTGTTTTATTGTAGAGATCACTTATAGTATCTTCTTGATTTTTTATATTCTATATTTATACTTTCCCCCTATGAAAGTATGTACTCTTAATATTTTTAACAAATAAAACACAATAATTCAATAACGTGCTTTAACCACTAGGCGGTGCACACAAGGTACACACAGCCATAATAACTTTGTATTATTAGTGTAGGACACTTTTGTTTTCTGAAAATGTGTAGTTTTATGCATGCTTTCACATAATTTTACAGCATATTGCTATACTATTTCAGACTCAGTATTTACATTCTTACATTCAAAGAAAATCAGTAATATCTTTAAAAACTATAGTCCTTTTATATCAGCTGTGCACCGTTATGGTGTAAATATAACCTATCTTTGAATTAGATCAAATGTAAAAGTCAGCCGAATTAGTGTTGATACTGCAAGGAGACGTATTGTGTGAAGAGAAATTGAAGATGTTGTTTAATTGTTGAATATATTTATGATCCACGTCAAGTATTCAGTTTCGGCGGCATTTTCTCAGTTTTTCCAAAGGTCTTCTCATCAGGGCTCTATAAATAAAGAACTACGGCAGATCTGTAATATACAATGCAGCCGAACCGTGTATTACAATGCCGTTATGTGATGACTTTCAAAGAGAAAAGCAAGAGCGCTCGGAATTAAGTATTCTTTTATTCTTTTAAAATGTTTTCCGGATTTCATATCATATAAACACCAAATCCCAGCATGCATTGCGGCTAAAACATCCAATAAACGAGCTTAAAACCATAGCTGAGGATCTTGGGTAATCGCTCGAAATGCCTACGTCTGTTTCCGGTTATTTTTATTTTGAATTTCAGTTCCTGACGGACGCCAAAAAAGCCCGAGATTATGGAATTAAACCAATAAATAGAAGCAAGGATAATTGTGTGTTATTGGTGAGTAAATAACAGTGTGTTATTTTGAAAAGAATAATAAATTAGAAGGAAAAAAAGATTTAAAAAATACAGATTTCAGTATCCTGAGGCTCTGAGCCCCATTTATTTTCCTCACAGACGGCAACAAAAGTCCGAAATTATACGATTTAAAATAAAAGCAATAACTGTGGCTTGATATTGAGTAAGAACATGTTTTTATGAACCACACAGCTTCAGGTCTTCCTCGACCTGACCGGAGAAAAAGACGTGCTGCAGGCAGTAGAAATACATTGCTTTTAAAATCGTGCTGTGCAACACGAAAAAAAAGGGGCAAATCGTGTTGGTGAACACGAATCAATAGATTAAAAATCGTGTTGGTGAACACGAAATGCCGTGAGACTGGGTTGTTAAGACACATGTGCAATGAGCACAGAGGCTCATGTGCGTCCACGCATGTTTTTGTAGCACGAGATGAGAGAGCAGACCAGGGATCACTCGTCAAAAGAGTAATGGTCTAAAACTCTGACTACTGACAGCCTTAAAGGTAATGATTCCCTTCAGTAGCCTATAATTCCAGGATAACATCAATAAATATGAAGAAATAATTCTGTAAAAAAGTACTTTGGAATAGTGACGGAGCTTTTACAGTGTTACTGCACCCGGGCTGATCAAATAAAAATAAAATCAGTGATTTAAGTCGACCTAATAGGATCGGGACATATAGGAGACCACCCAGGAAATAAAGAGGATGAGCTTCACGAGAACTCATAAAAGATCTAGAAGAACATCAAGATGTCACTGTGATACGGTGCAGGCTCCTCGCAGGGATT